TTTTTTTTTTTTGGATGACTGCAAAGCAAATGCATTTCTTTAGATAACTGCCTCTGGTTTCCATGGGGATCTTACTTCTGCTTGTTAAAGGTATTTTTCAGAATCCTTCACATTATTTGAAGTACTGCTAAGAGCTAGTACTTCAGGACTATCTCAGCTCTTGATGCCTGCATCAACACATTGTGTCTGGCAGTGAAATTCAAGGAGGGTACAAACTGGAAGAGGAGCAAAAGTAATTTTGCTGCTCTGAATCAGACTAATGTACTCTGGTAACATTTCATGGTCAAAGAATATTACTGTTTGCAGATGCAGTAAACTTGAACCACAATAAAGGCTAGAAGGACTTCTGGGCAGCATGCTATGGTGGATCATTGTATTTGCTTTCTCAGTGTACTTCTGTGCAACTTAGTGTACTGTGTGGCTGCTTATCTATGATGTTTCTCAAAAAAAAGTAGGGGATGACTAGAAAGAACCATCTTCAATCTCATTCCATAGAGTCGGTATATGGAGATTTATTGAATGTTGATAGTTATGATGATAACAGGATAAAATGAATTCTATTTTACTTTAGCAGGCTTTAAATGTGTTTCTAATGTGAAAAAAGTTGCTTCTCATGTAGTGGTTACCTTTAATAGTTTGTATTTCTCTTTTTTACTTGGAGAAATGKTGAAAGGCACAGACAAGCTCCTTATGGGGAGCAGCTGAGGTCACTTGGTTTGTTCAGCTTGGAGGAGAGAAGGTGGAGGGGTGACCTCATTGCAGTCTACACCTTCCTCAAGGGGGGCAGCAGAATTGCTGATCTCCTCTCTCTGGTGACCAGCAGTGGGACACGAGGAAGCGCGATCAAGCTGCGTCAAGGGAAGCTCAGATGGGACATTAGGAAGAGGTTCTTCACTGAGAGGCTGATTGGTCACTGGAAAAGGCTCCCCAGAGAAGTGGTCACAGCTCCATGCCTGACAGGGTTCAGGGAGTATCYGGATGATGTTCTTAGTCATAGGGTTTAGTTGTAGGCAGTCTTGTGAGAAGCAGGGATCAGTGAACTCAYTCGGCTCCTTCCAACTTCACCGATTCTACTCTAAGCTTGATGTTCATGACCTACTCAGTCTGTGTACTGAGAAGATTGTCAAATAATGTCAGGTGTTATAAGGGTGTTATATAGATACAGTTCATTCTCTGAGAACACCAAAGATCYGCTTTTCCTTTCTGTGTTAGTGGGGAGACTTGGCAAGCAGTATGGGATATGCTTTGTGGCATGTGATTGTTTATAAATGACACTCATGTCCCTGGCAGTATTGACTTACAGGAAATTGCAATATGCTGCATCTTCCAGCTGCTTGTTCACTCCAACTTTTCCTGGATGCCTCCYAGGTGCAAACCCCTTAGGAAGTCTGAATCCAAGGTTATGTAGCTGTAGACCAGTTATACCAGTTATCCAGCAGAAACCCTTCTGAAACTAACCTGTGGTGGAACCTGACAGCTTTGCCCACTTTGCAACAGCTTAGTATAGTTGTAACCAAAGGAGAATAAATTTTTCTCAGGTTCATCAGGGAATGACTAATACATGGAGAGTGGAAAAGAGCCTCTAGACATTATGAAGAGTTTCAGAGCACAATTGGTATTCACAGCATAATTTCTTGCTGATTTGCCTTGTTGCCTGGAACAGTGTTATCCTCTTCCATGCAAAGAAGTTGCTGGGGAAAAGTGAGGAACAATGAAAATYTTTACGATTTTGTTCCAAAGCTTCTTACATTTGCCATGCAAAGTTTCTGRTATAATTTTTCCTCTGCTTTGGGAAGCATGAAGGGAAATACTTGATTTGAAGGCATCAGCAGAAGGATCTACCAGACTATACCAAAGCTGATYTGGTTCATTAGAGCAGCTTGTTAATATATCAATTACTTATATTTACAAGAATTTTTCCCTGAGGCATGTTCCCTGACTAATTTTCAGTGTCCCAAGTGGACACTATCCTTTTTTGCCTTTCARGCTCTGACTTTGTCTATTCAAAGAGTTCTTCCTTGCCTTTGAACCAATACTTTTTTTACACTTCATTCTTCCCATTTAGGATCAGTCAGAACCAGAGCTAATTTCATTTTCTTGTGATTCTCTAATGTATAAATGACAATGTGAAATAATTTGTAGAAGTAATTCAACAGCTGAGAATATTGAGTCTTGAATGGAACTCCTCTGCTAGACCCTGAAGAGTAGCTCAGTAGTTCTCTAGAGGCTTCTGATATTAATGAAAACACTTTTGATCTTTTAGTTTTCCATTCTTCATTTTTATTAATTCAAATAGAGATTAAACTTGCTTGTGAAGTAAGGTTATAAAATCAATGCAATTGAAATTAGATGAAAGATCTGAATTAATTTAAAACAAAGAAACAAAAACACAYAAAAAAGGCCTGTTTTCTCCCCTCTCCAGGGTATTGTAAAAKATATTATTACTGTTAGGAGTACTTTCTAATAGCTGGAGAGTTGGAGATATTTTTGAAAGCAAGTGGTTTGATTGACTGAATATGTCCTAGCAACTTAGAAAGCTTTAAATATAACTGATTGAATACTGCCTGAGGAATACATTGTCTAGCCCAAGGCATCTGCCAAAACCAGGTGATGATTCCTTCCTTTAAAATGCATCAGCTAGTAGAGATGTAACTCAATATTTTGTCACAATCAAAAAGGAATTTGCATAAGACACATGACACAGTATATAGAGGAACTGAATCCCAAATGACAYTCAAATACTGCAGACCAAAATAGGTGGTCTGTGAGGTAGATTTTTAAGTTTAATATTACATGTTTCTATTGAAACAGAGTGCTGTTTTATCAAGAAGCAGAACTAGACTTTTTGGTAGTTCTTGGTACTTGACTCTTGGTATGCACATTGGCCATGTGAACAAGAATATCATCTTGCTGGCATTTTATGTGGATAGCCATAACTCCACTTGGCACTTAGAAGCTTGGGGGTTTTTATTGGTTTGGAGGAAAAATCAAGGCAAAGAATGATAGCGTCAACAGAGAGAAGTGTTGGGGGACTGCAGCTGCTTTTTCATATCTCAATCAGCAGCTAAAGATGCTGTTTTCTCTCATTATGTCTATTTGTAGGTAACCTACATAAATGCTAACAAATCTGCCACATAAATCAATTACACTTCAAGTCAAAAGAACTTCTGGTAAGTGTCACAAAAAGTGGAGTATCAACAACATATGGCTGTTGATATGGTCTGCAGTAAGAACAATTTAACTTTGCTTGAAGGTGGGAAGCTACACTCTACTTTGCATGTTGTCCAGCTGCAGAGGATAAATGGAGTTGTCTTGTCAAGTGTTTGTATGCTGCTAACTATGCTTTGACGGATCTGGTGGTACTGCACAGTGTGTCTCCAGGAGAAATAAAATAAAGAACAATAATGTTTGTGGAGTCAGGGTTGGAAAGCTGGGACCAGGTTATGATGTTGAGTATGTGTGCCCCACTCAGCTGTGCTGGTAGAGATCCTGCCTCCATAGATGACAGGGCTGAAGTGCTTAATCTAGACAGGCTGAAGAAGTTGGTGTCGTTTGGCCGGGAGAAGAAAAGGCTCCAGGAAGACCACATTGCAGCCTTCCAGTACTTCAAGGAGGCTACAAGAAAGCTGGAGAGGGACTTTCAGAAGRGTGTTTATTGATAGGACAAGGGGAAATGGCTTTAAGCTGAAAGAGGACAGGTTTAGATTAGATATAAGAAAGAAATTCTTAACTGTGAGAATGGTGAGGCACAGGCACAGGTTGCCCAGAGAAGTTGTGGATGCCYCATCCCTGGATGTTTTCAAGGSCAGTTTAAATGGGACTTTGAGCAACCTGGTCTGGTGGAAGATGTCCCTGCCCATTGCAGGGGGGTTGGAATGAGGTGATRTTTGAGGTCCCTTCCAACCCAAGCTATTCTATGATTCTATGACCTTTCTAAAGACACCTTGTTAAAGGAAAGAGAAAATCCTGTGAGTTTTATGGTATCTTTATATGCATTAGAAAGGGTCCATGCTGTAAGAACAGATCACTTAATTTGCTTTGTAAATTTAATTGTGCTCTTGCTGTATGAGATAGAATCATAGGGAAATTTGTGATAGTGAAGTTGTGGCTGTCATATGATATTTCTTTTGGAGATTGGGATGGAATAAGATGCAATGATCAGGGAAAAGTACTGTACATATTTAGTACAGAGCTAAATATGTTTGGTTTTTTTTCTGTACATATGCTTCACTGCCGTCTATCCATCCTATTTGAAACAAGTGTGTAGGGCCTGAATATCCAAAACAGTGGGTGACATCCTGTGTATATTCCTGCGAAGTTACATGCATCAAGTCCTTTTTCTTTTTTCTGTTCTGCTTGTCCCATTTGTTTCGTTACATGTTATGTACATAGAGAATCTCTTGGGTGAGGGGGGAAAGACAGATTTTTTCTGGCTATGGCTTTACGCAGGCCTGTCTTTGCCATTGAAGTGGTCAGCAAAACCAAGCAAGCTGCTGTGATCCATTTACAAACAGATCAAAACTACATACATTTATATTTTAATTATATTTGTATTTACTTAGTGTAGTTTTATCTTTAAAAAAGAATTCTGCACTATTTATTAAAATAGGAGCACTTTAGCCAGTTTCTGTATTTGAATACTCAGGATGGACCATTTAATACAGGAACCAACATAAGTATTTAAAAATATGGTAGGCATATTTTTATGGCATTTGCCTCTGAAATCCCTGAATTAATTCATTACCAGAAGCTGGGAGGGGAGAGCTAGGGTGTAATTGTTTTGAGCCTTCTGATTTATGAAGCCATTAGCCATTACAGAATTCCTAGTTTGAGCAGTATGATGATTCAAATCAGTGCTGCCTGGCAAACTCCAAACAATTATTTTTTATTTGCAGTAATGGGGAACATTCAAATCTGTTAAGATCATTGTTATTGGGGGTTGGGGATAGTTGTTTGTTTGTCTGTTTTCCTTTTTTCATGCTTCCTGTCTCTGCTTGCAGGTAACATCATGGTGCTGTGGTCAACTTGCAGAACATCGCTGCTTAAATCTGTAACAAACCGATTCATTATGAATTTGGCCTGCTCGGGGATCTGTGCCAGCCTAGTCTGTGTGCCTTTTGACATTGCTCTTAGTGCCAGTCCACACTGCTGCTGGTGGCTCTATACGATGCTCTTCTGCAGAATTGCCAAGTTTCTGCAYAAAGTCTTCTGCTCAGTGGTCATCCTTAGTTTCCCAGCCATTGCTCTTGACAGGTAATGGGGAAAATTTGCCATAATCCCGGATTTTCCTTTCTTCTTTCTCTCTTTGTCTTGATGAATGTGGTATCACACAGTCTGTAATGCACACCAGTGTTGCCACTGGAACAGAATTATCATTTGTATTTCCCCAAGAAAGMATGTGATCTGCCTTACAAAAAGCACAAACTCCTACCACTTACAGTGATACGTGTGAAAAGTTCTGTCTGTCATGAAAACTCTGTGAGCGTGAAAGTCCACAGCAGTAGTCCAGTAGTAAGCAGACAATGAATCAAAGGTCTGAAATTTGAAGTGCATGTCTGAGATGCATTTTTTTTAAAAAATGCACACAGAATGTTCAGTGTTCAGTATGCCTTTGCTCAGGGCCTTGCCAACTACAGCTTGTGCAAAGCAAAACACCTTTGTGTACTTCCAGTAGATGTATACATGTAATTTGTAACCAACAGCTTTTTCCAAATATCCAGCAAACAATCTGTTATAAAGGAACTTCTAAAACAATGAGTCTGGCCTTTGAATGTGACATGTGCCTCCATCATGTCCTTTGAAATTTTGAGTTGTGTGCAATGTACTGTCTAGTGTACAGCTAAGTAAATGGTGAAATCTTCAAAATAATATTCATGTGCCTCAGCCAAAGTGACATACTGACAGAAATTTTCACCACCAAAAATGTGATCTTGACATTTAAATTAACAGTTGTTTTCTACAACAGATGTGCAAAGGCAGACCTTTGGGGTTTCGTTTGGGTTTTTGGTTGTTGTGTTTATTTTTTTCTTTTGGTTTTAATTTTTGTTTTGTTTTGTTTTATTTCCTTTTTCTTTTTTTTTTTTTTCCCTTTCATAAAATGGTAGTCAGATGGCAGTCCAGTTAGGGATTTGGAGTGTTATGCCCAGGCAGCTCCTGAGAGGTTTCTCATAATTGATGTGCTCATTAAAATCATTATAATCTTTTTCTTTTTCTTTTTGACAGATACTACTCTGTTTTATATCCTCTGGAAAGAAAAATAACTGATGCAAAATCCCGAGACCTKGTTATCTATATTTGGGCCCATGCAATAGTGGCCAGCATTCCTGTATTTGCTGTGACCAATGTGTCTGATATTTATGCCATGTCCACTTGCTCTGAATCTTGGAGTTACTCCCTTGGCCACCTGATATATGTCATCATYTATAATATCACCACTGTGATTGTACCAGTGGCTGTGGTATTTCTCTTTATGATTCTTATTCGCAGAGCACTGAGCGCCAGCCAGAAGAAAAAAGTCATCATAGCTGCATTAAGGACCCCTCAGAACACAGTTTCTATCCCATATGCCTCGCAGCGTGAAGCTGAGCTCCATGTCATGCTGCTTTCTATGGTTATGATATTTATTTTCTGCAGTGTCCCCTATGTGACGTTGGTGATTTACCGTACCATACTCAATATTTCAGATATTTCAGTCTTCTTGCTCCTCACTGCTATTTGGTTGCCCAAGGTGTCTTTGCTGGCCAACCCTTTGTTATTTTTAACTGTTAACAAATCTGTACGGAAGTGCTTAGTGGGGACAATAGTACAGCTGCACCGCAGGTTTAGCAGGAGAAACATTGTCAGCTCCGGTGGTATTGCAGATGACAACCTGGAGCCCAGTGTCCATTCAGGAAGCCAGCTTCTGGAGATGTTTCATATTGGGCAACAACAAATCTTCAAGCCAACGGAAGATGAAGAGAACGARACCAAATCCATTGGCTCTGGTGACTTTCAACAGAAAGAAATTCCTACTGTCAATTTAGAGCTAGGACAGACTTTGGTTCACAGGTTTATTCCACAGACGATTGCAGACTCTGCAGCTCAGGTGGCCCCAGCTGTGCCCACAGAAGCTGATGCAGTAAATGACAAGTATTCCATGCAGTTTGGTTTTGGTCCCTTTGAGCTGCCTCCACAGTGGCTCTCAGAGAACCGAAACAATAAGAAGCGACTCCTGCCTCCTCTGGGGAATACCCCTGAAGAGCTAATCCAGACAAAACTGCCTAAGTGTAAAGCAGAAAGAAAAGTCAGCAGAAACAATAAAGTCAGTATCTTTCCCAAGGTGGATTCTTAGTAAAAGCAGGAGCTTTAAGTGACAGAAGAAGGTCACTTTCTATTACATGTGTGATCCTATGGATCTTTATTATGTTGAAATTTGTTACAGCCTGATTTTTTTGCCAAATACAATTTAAATGAACAAAACATATACATAAGTGTTCCTTATTGATATGAAATACTTCATGAAAATAATACCGAAAGATGGAAATTCATAGTTTTATTTCTRAAATCCTTACAATGATACCTGATTAACTTCCAAAAGTACATATGGTTTTGGGAACTCTTTTTTATGGCTGAATTATGGAAATACAGCAGTCAGTTTTCAGGGAAACTTCATGCTGTATTTAAATGGACAAAGTATCGTAATTGCCTATGGAGAGCAGAAGACATGCAACATGGGTAAGTCCTACTCTCCTGCAAACAAACACAGCAAGATTTCATTAATGAAGATGGACTATTAAGTGCATTTGTTTTCTGTTAAGCGCATTTTTAAAATTTGATTAGTGTTAAAACTTGCTGGATTTTTTTGCACAAATTAGCTAGCAAGCATCTGCCAAACATCTTAAGTTTTTTAAAATCCAAACCATGTTTTTTGGCTTAAAACATCCACAAAGTGAAGACTACCCCAATCATCATGTGTGTTAAACCTGAGAAAGACCTCTTTTTATAAAGATCCCGTATACTTGTAGTTTTAAGTAAAAACTGGATTGGARACCATGCAGGACAAATCCTGACTCCAGTTAACAAATATATATATGCTAAGAATCCTGTGATACAGGGCATAAATAAATGTCCTTAAAGTGTAATGTATGCATTGTGTAAATAACTAAAGGGTAAGCCTTGAAATAAAACTTAGCTGCTGGTGCACTCTGCTGTTTTCTTATGGGAAAGCTAGCAAATAAAAGAAATGGATGTGAAATGCTAGTAGCCTTTCTCTCTGAGTATGACAGTCTCAGTTTTTGAGTCTGTCTCTCACACAGAGAGACTCAGAGACAGRGATTCCAAGTGTTTCAGTGACAACTGAATTGTTTGGTGAAGAAGCTGGTGACAGACCTCAAAAGGCAAAAGTTTATTAATGCTGTTTTTCTATATGGCCAGAGGTGGAGAGGTTTTCCTTCTATCCTCACAGATACAGACACCAGCCATCCTGCTCCACTTGGCTCCCAGAGTAAGCCACCCAGTGTATGAACACAAGACTTTCAAATCTGGTGCCCAATTCCTGAGTGAGTCAGAGTCATGCCATCCTTGGTATCAGCACAGCAGCCTTTCTGTGACACTTCAGGCATTGTGCTGCAGCTTGCCTCCCTGCATAATCACACACATACTGTCTCATTTATACTGAACGTGAACTTTAATTAAACTGTATCTGTCTGTTAGGTGGCCTAAAACTACTGCAGCCTTGCCATTTTAATCCTCACTCACTTGCAAGTAGTCTTTCATCTGCTCTCACTGTTGTCTCTGTGGGTAGTTTCTTAAAAGGAGTCTCATAAACTTGTTTACTCTGTGTGGTTTTCCTGTATTTCAGCCCTTTGCTGCATGCCAAACCTTTATCTGTGGTTACTGTCTGTTTATGAAAGTAGTTTGCTTTAAAGCATACTTTAAAAGGGATAAGGTGAAGGATCTTGACAAATTCACAGTAACTTATTAAATCCAACCATTTAATCTTAAAAGTGAGAAAAAATTCTGCTAGAGCAGAATGTACCTTTTCTTCTATTGACATGTTTGAAGAAAGTCACCAGCTGCTGATGGCTCCACAGTGGTGGATTTCTACAAGTCATTAAAAACAAATGTTTTAATAAAAGTGTATTTAAAGAAAAGTGTATAAATYAGTGTGTAAAATATATTTTTCTCCATTTCCTCTTTGGTTTCAGTGCACTTCATTTCTTGGTAGTTCAAGAGCTTGTCAGCTAGGGAGTGAGGAACAGTCTTTAAGGGGTCCAGGTGTGTGGTGGGAGCTTGAGCTGCCCTTCCAAGATACAGAGATGAGAAGACAGACATGGCTTGCCTGAAATCAGACAAGATTGCCTGGAATCAGAAAGATTCCAGAAAAAATGGGTCCTTTTGTGGCAGAGGTGGAGAAGTACCACAGCATGCATTTTTTTAAAGTGTCAAGTTATTTAATGGAGTGTTTGTTTTTSCAAAGTTAGTGAAAGAACAGATGCCACTGAGAAAATCTTGAAAACCTGGAAGTCGAAGTAGGARTTGTAGTTTCCTTATGAATTTTGGTTAAGTTTAACATTTATGTTTCACTTACATACAGATAGATATTGTTCAAAATCTCTGTGATTACTTAAGGTGGATAAATGTTTACTCAGATCTGAACTCCTTTGAGGAAAGCAAACTTAGTTTTGACCTTTTCAACTCTTTTGTTGAATGAAATACCAATGATAAATTTAAAGAATTAAATTGTATATGATTTCATGTTATCCTATCTGGAAAGCAAAGGGTTTGTGATGGGTTTTTACTGTTGACACAAAAATACCACTTTCTTTCAAAAATACATGTAAAAACTTGATTGTAATTTTTTTTAGCATATTGTATGCAAAGACATTGAAACCCTTCACCAAGGAATTAATTACGGTGGTTTTCRATAACTCAAGAATTAGCTGAGAATGTTTTTAGTCCTTCTTTCAGCACTTTATCCATGTGAATGTTTAAAAGCAGTGGAAAAAATTCACAAAAGCACATATTTTTATAGAAAAAATAGTCTGCATAAAATAGTCTGCATAAAATTCACAAACCAGTCTTTGCTAGAATTGCCATCAGAAAACAGTAATTCAGGAAACTCTTTGCAAGTGACAGTAGYAGCTGTGAGTCATGACTGCTGTCTCTTGGATTGTTCATGTGATTCGACTGGGCAAAATGTTTTCCAGTGTCCAACATGGAAAAAAAAATCAAGTCATGCTATCACATGAAAGGTAAGCAGAAGTGAGTTTTGGGTTGGTTTTTTTCTT